AGTGCCGGGGCTGTCACCCACTGGCCCTCAGGGTGCACATTAGCATGAAGCTCTTCAAGATGGACTGCTGGCATCCCAAGCAACGTCTTAGCTGCTAGGTCACATACTCACCCCTGTTGACATTTTAGATAGCAGAGAGGACATTGGCATAGAAACCTGGAGGGAGAGTCCCTGTTATGCCAGTTTGGATTGCATTTTTCCTTATACATAGTCCATACTTAACATTTTAGGAGATGATGGCCGTGCCGTGTGTACATATATAGAAGCAAAAAATTAGTTCAAGTTCTCATCACAAAAAATTATGAATATTCAAGAGAATGGATATGTTTATCGCCCTGATTTGATTAATATGCAATCTATGCATATATGAAAATATTATACTCCATAAAATGTACAGTCATGTGCCAGTCAAAAGTAAGACAAAATTTAAAAGACAGGAGCAGATTCCTTCTTGTTGCTAATGTTCCTGCTGTTGCACCTGAGCCCCCAGACAATGCCTTGTATGTCAGTGCCAGGTGCAGTCAGACCCTGCTCTCCTCAGCACACTCCCTTGGCATGACTCAGCGAACTAACAGAGTGCTACAGCCAGTCCCATAAGACTCTGATCACTGGATTCAAGAGGACATTTGCTTCTCTACCCGGTGGCACGCCAGCAGCTGGTGTTGTCTCAAGGGGGTTTATTTAGGGAAACACTAGGCCCAGGGGAGAAACAACTGGCCCCTGCGCACGGCCCCCAAGCTGGCTGAAGCCTGCTTGGTCATCTTGCCAACAGAGCATCTGGGTAATGCTTCCCACACACCCAGGTGCTGGGGTCCGTGCGGTAGGTGTGGATGGCACGAAGGTTTGAAGAGAACAGCTCCCCTGTTTGGCAGGGCCCGGGGGAGCTTCCAGCTGTTTGGCAGGATTTCTCTCTGACCACCCTGACGCTGTTTTACCCCCTGGCTGCATGGACACTCAAGCACCCCACTAAGAATTCTGTAATCTATTGAGGCCCCTGTAGGATGGCTTTTATCACCAACGTGAGCTTGAGAGTTAGTGTCACTGATAATATCTTGGTGAGTGGGCCTTTGACAATTTACACACAGGAGCACAATTAAACCCATGCCATTTCTGGACACCTTATTGTGTACCTACCTATTGCCCTGAAATCGGGCCCAGACATATAGCACACCTTCTGGGAAGGGGCTTGAAAACATCCTAAATATTAATACAAGTGATGGGAGTGAGAACTGAAACTGCTATGGCAATAAATATAGTTATTGTTATCTCAAAGGCTAGCCTGTCTTTGCAATTTTTTTGGAACATAGAAAATGTAATTGTTTTAGCTGCTTTTATAATTTTTAGCTAGAGGAATTAAGGATGCTTTTATTAAAGAAAAATGCTTTTGATTATTGTCTTATTGTTTATGGGGTTGTAGGGGTCTATAGTTGTAGGGAGATTTAACATTTGAAGTTTCTATTTTAGATTTTAGGTTTTTTCCTTTATAACCTATTTTCCCATTAAATGATGGGTAAATTGTAGAAGTAAAAATGTGGTGGGAAAGTACTACCAATTAGCAGATAATCACATGTGCCTTGGCCTTGGAGTCCTGGCTGTTGCTCCATGGCTACTGTTGAAGAATAAACAATAGCTTGCTTTGAAGAATATGAATACAGTATTTTGCAAAATTATCTTTAGGAGCACCTGCTTAGCCTTGGAGTGCAGACGGAATGATCAAATGTCTGTACATGCCCCCTTAATTTTGAAAAGAAAAAAAAATAGAATAGTTGCTTGTACAGAAGCTTGAGAAGGGTTTTTAAGTAAATAAAAAGGACAGTTTTTTCCGGAGCTGTTGTGAGAACGCACCAAATGCCTGTGTCTGTGTCTTTCTTTATCGCCGACTCCACGCACCCTTCCCGAGCTCCGAACTCGGCTGGAGCTGGACTCCGGCACCCAGGCCCTAAGACACACTGGGTCTCGTTCCTTGTCTCAACAGCCTTTGCAGACAACAGAGCAGGAACACCTGAACCTCGTCTGACCCCCCCAAGACCTGCAGCTTCATGACTTCATCAGGCAAGAACCCCTTCCACATGGCCCCTTTAGAAACTCCAGACGTTCTTATACCACAGAGCAGGGCTCTGCTAAACTTGAATCTGTCGACAGAGTAAATATTCTGCTTCCTTCACCCCAAAACGTTGTCTTTGTCAGCTTGATTTGGAATAGGAGATTGGGACCAATCTTTGGGTAACTGTCTTAGAATTGAGAATGGCTTCTGATTTCCACTGGTGTGCTAGTATAAGTCAATTCCATGGTGGCTGGGAGGATACTGATAGCGAGACGATATTTATTTAGGATTCTACTTGTCAAAGTAGGATTAGTAGGTCTGTGGGTAGAAGGGTTTATAATGTCACAGAGGCGTTGTACGGCTGAACAGTTTAAGACCATGGAGTGGCGTGGGAGTGATATCTACTGTGGCCACTAGGTGTCAGTGCTTCCTTAGCCATCTACTGCATGATGGTCCTATGGGGATCTCCGGCCTCCAGCGCAACGGTCTTTTTTGGAGGGAGAGAGGGGGGATAAAAAAATGTAAATGGTACAGCTTGTTTAACATTTTTCATCAGCATACAATATGTTTAGCTGTTGATATTGCAGAGATCTATGGCATACACAGACTGTCTCAGGCATCACAGTCATGTGGTTTCTCAGCATTTTCCACGCCCAGAGAGAAGCCCAGCACACATCAGCATCTGCCCCCATTCCTGTGCTTACCTTCCCCCTGCCTGGGAGACATGTTCTTATCAGGTGCTGACAGAATTCCAGAGCTAAACATATTCAAGCTCCCATGGCTGACTGTGTCAGACGGGAAAGACCCTGGGGCCCATGTGCCTGGGCACTGTGCCACCTCAGCTCCTATGCATTCGGCAGGCCCAAGGACAGCCTGTATTCAGTGCCATATTCCATCTAAGACGTGACTGAGGTGGTTGTGCGATGGGCTGTGCTCAGACCCACAGTCTTTCACAGACATTGGAATGCTCTGTACTTTTCCATCCAGAAGAGACAGGATCCTAACCTTGTTCATTCGTGTCTGTGGGTACTTCTCACCACTGCCTTAGTTTAAACCTAATCCTAATTCCATTCCCAGATGGGGGCTACAGGGTCTGAGTGTGTTTTCGTGTTGCACAGGGTAGGGGGAGATGAGATGAGAGGAACCACTGGTCCTGGGGGATCCCCAGGAGGCAGCCATACCTAGCCCCCAAGTTAGATGAACTCGTGGAGATGAGATCCTAATGTAAAGGCACATGGAACATGAAGATGGGGTCCAAGGACAGATGAGTCCCAGAACCTTCATGGGACTCCTGTCCGCAGGACAGTCCTGACACAGGCTGGAGGCCGGACAGGGGCCAGGGTCAGGTCCTGTCTAGCCCACCGGCCCCATGAAACCCACAAGTTGTCCTTTGATGATTTGATGGCTGGAACATTCTGCCTGTTGTTCATGGTCACACTCAACATCACCCCTGCTGGACAGCTGTCCCTGACCCCCGAAGACAGAGCCCCGGCTCCTCTCATGTTTGCCCCCACAGGCTCTTATGGGAGGTTTAATGGATTGTCTCTCTGTCTCGATGATGCCGTGGTGAGGCTCCAGTCCAGTGCTCTACCCACAGAGCTGGCAAGTAGTAAATGAACTGAGGATGAAGGAAGGAATCAGGATGTGTTTGCTGAATCTCACGCCTACACATTGAGACAGCCTGTTTTTCCACTCCGCTTGTTTTCATTCCTTCTTCCCTCTAGCCTCTCCATTTTCCTGTCCACTGACCACTGCTGCCCCATCCTAATCTGCCCAGCGTCCCCAGCAGGGAGGGCAGTGTTTGTCCTACACCAAACTTCAATTGTGGCAGCTCAAACCAAATGGCATGACAACTGTACCCAGGAGGCAGCTCAGGAGGCAATACTCCAGAAGGTTGAGGCTTGGTCCACCCTGGTCCTTCTTAATACAGGACGGTCCCTTCCCAGGACTAAGGGAGGGCCACACTGGGGGGCCTGTGGGTAGCATCCTTAAGGGCCCAGCACAGGGGGAGCAGGACGGGGAAGGACGTTGCTGGTCCAAGTGGCAGAGTTGGTGGCCAGAGTCCTTGCCCTGCGCTGTAATGCGGGGACCTTCCCAGGTTGAAGGGCCTTGTTCAGAGTCATCTGGAACAGAAGGCCACCATGGAAGGTCCTTGGAAGAGAAGTAGAGTAGACTCCACTTGGAACCCTCCGTGCCATGCTTCTAAATAAAGCAGTGGCAGACGTATGTGGAGTCATCACTAATTCCTCCATCTGACACAAAGACCTCCTCTGCCACATTTGGGCACGTCTCCTCATTCCCCAGCCCTGTGCTTCTGCAGGAGACTGCCAATCACCTCCAGGTCAGAGTGGGCGTGTCTACCTGACCAGGTAGGACCAATCACAGGACCCAGTCCTCTTCAGCAATGACTGTTGATCCAAGGTTGGTCCATGACCTCAGATAGGCCAATCAGAAGCCCTGGTATTTTCTGAGTGGCTTTGCTGTCTGATGCAGTTATTTAAAAGCCTGGGACAGGCAGAGACCAGGTCCCCACAGTAAACAGAAGACTGAACAAAGAAAGCTGCCAGGCAAAGAACCAGGTGTTAGGGGAGGGGAGAGGGAACTGATGGCTCTTGCGGCTTGGGTTCTGACCCAAGTCAGAGGCCTGCTCAGACCATGTCTCCCAGACCATGTCTTCCTCATCAGTCAAGCCACTTGGGTGGGTTTCTCTCACATGTGGGCTACATTCTGCTTCATTCCATTGACTTCCCCCAAACCCAGGAGAGCAGCCATGAGGATCAGCACCATTGAAAATGAGATCCTTTATTCTCCCCACCTCCCAACCCCACCCCCAAGGATAGATCTTTGCAGAGGTGCCACACAGAGCTGTGGGTAGTCCTCCAGGCAGGGGACCCCTCCCCAGTGGGTTGGCGCCTGTGTCCGGGTGGTCTGGCTGTCTGCTGGCTGTACCCAGTGCTCACACCGCAGGGGCCAGGCCGATCCTGTTGTTGGCCCGATCGAACACTGTGAAGTAGAGGCGCAAGAAGACGTCTCCCAGCACCCAGATCTCGGTGGGATCCAACTCCTGGGAGGATGCCTCATCGAAGTTGCTGTAGCAGATGTGTGCTGAGGACTGGAGACCACAGAACATGGAGGTCAGCCCTCACCCTTGTCCTCGCCCTTGCTCTCGCTGGCCACCACATCCAGTCCAGCCCTGGCCACCAATGGGCTGTCCCCAGTCCACTCAGTACCGCATCTGTTCCTGGTGTCTCTCACCTGCGATGTCTCCTCTAACCTTTGTTGAGGCTTCCCCTCCCAAGAGGTCCCTGCAGGGGCCTGTGGGCAGCCCTCCTGGACCCAGGCTCTGCCTCCTGAGCCCTGCAGGCTGGACCAGGTGATGGTCCTCAGTGGTCCATGGCACCAGTGCATGCATAACTGTGGCTTCATCAGGCTGGATTGGGCTAGTCTCCTGGCTGCTCCCATACCTGCAGACCCCTGTGAACAGCTCCCTCGGGCCCTGTCTGTGTGAAGCCCTATCTAGATCTGTCCCCAACACAAACTGCCCCCCACTCACCTACGTGAGTCTGTGGATTTAAACATGTTCAACTTCAGTGCCAGCATGGTGGGCTTTGTGTTGCAGTGGGCTAAGCTGCCTGCAATGCCAACATCCGAGTCCCTGTTGCCCCACTTCCTATGCAGCTTGGGTAAGCAGCAGATGATGGTCCATGTGTTGGAGCCTGGCACCCACACGGGAGACCCAAGCTCCCTGATCTTCATGACCATTTGAGGTGTGAACCAGCAAATGGGGGATCTCTCTCCACATCCCCTCTCTCACAGCCATCTTGTTCAAAACAAAACTGATCCACCACAATTGTCCCTATTGGTGGGATATGGTGACATTTCAACACATGCATCCCATGTATAAGGATCAGATCAGGGTGACAGGCTTGTCTGTTACTTCCCAAGTTTATCATTTCTCTGTTGAGAGCATTCAATATCCCCTCTAGAGGCTGTTTTTGAAATATTGAATTAGAAAATTCGAAGATATCCCTTCATTCACCTGGACCACCATAAATCATCGTGTCTCCTTTCCCCACGCCCCTACACACCTACCCTCCCCAGGCTCTGGCAGCCACTCTCCTATTCTCTACTCTTTTTTTTTTTCTTTTGCAATCATTGATTTAGCCTTCACATAGAGGTGAGAAGAGCATGCACACTGGGCTGGCATTGAGGCATAGCAAATTAAGCTGAGATGCCAGCATTCCATGCGAGTGCTGGTTGGATATCTGGCTGCTCCACTTCCAAACCAGTTTCCTGCTAATGCACCTGGGAAAGCAGTGAAGGTGGCTGCATCCTTTGGAACTTGCACCCACGTGGGAAATCCAGATGAAGGTTGTGGCTGCTGGCCTTAGCCTCATCTAGCCCTGGCCATTATGGCCATTTTGAGGAGTGAATCCAGCGGATGGGCGATCTCACTGTGTATGCCTGTAGCTACTTTTTTTCTTAAAACTTAAGCGAGAACAAGCAGAATTTGTCTTTTGGTGCCTGGCGTTATTTCATATAACGTAATATCCTCCAGTTCTAGCCACGTTGCTCTAGATGATAGGCTTTCTAGTTATGGCTGAATAGTATTCCTTTCTCACACCTTCTTTTAAGCCGCCCAGCCTGCCTTGGACTCATGGAGACCTAACGTTCTTGAGCATCAACTTTGTGTCTGGGCCCGTGTCGTCCCTGGGCGCTCTGTTCATGCCACTCAGTTCACTCTGTCCCCACCACCGCTCAGAGGGAGGAGCCTCACAGAGCATGGTTAGTAATTGTGACGGGGCAGTTGCCAGCCAGGCCCACCTGTCACTTTTCTGTTCGCCTGTTTCTGGGACTGCTACAACGGATGTTCCATATTTAACCATCAGAGCACCCAAATTGAACTGAAGGTTCTTGCCCTCAGTGCTTACAGAGAGTGAAGGCTGCCCCTGTCTCCCAAAACACCTGCTGGTGGGAGGCCCCCAGTGGGCCTGGCAGCATCTGCAGTGGCACTGCTTGGCCTCCAGGGGACCCTCTTTCTTCCTAGCGTCCAGGACCCCAGGCTGGTCCCACCCCACCCCCCACCCCCAAGTCAGGTCCCTCACCTTGCGGATGTAGGCACTGGCTGGCACTGGGTAGTCCACGCCATCGATGGTGAAGATGATGTCAGGCAGGGTGCTGATGGCGCCACAGTCGATGATGTACTGTCAGAGAAAGGCAAGTGAGGTATACCAGGCCAAAACCCTGGAGCCATCCTCGGCATGACTCTTACCTCACTGCCATAGGAGTGTTGAGCATCAATGGCTTGCTGGATGCTGAGGACAGGATTCCGTGGGCCAATCAGCAAAGAGGTACCCGTATCCATGATGCCCTGGCAGCCGCCATCACAAGCAATGACCTTCCCGTTCATGGAGATGCTGAGAGCCAGGCACAAAGCAGACACCAGGGTCACCCTACTGTCCTCTATCACCTGTCCAGAACAGCTGTCCTGCACAGGCAGCCTGTCTCATTTGTGTTAACCACACCTTTGAAGTCCTTTGGGCTCTCGAAGGTACCAAATGCATTCTCACTGTAGGACCTTTGCATCTGCTGAACTGCCTTCTTAGAATCACTCCCACTCCCTTGGAGGGGCTAATTCTCTCTGCCCTCCAGGTTACAGCTCAACTGACTCTTCTGGGGAAGTCCTCCCCTCCTGGGTCACTCCTGGAGTATTCACCCATGATGTGTGTGCTGTGTGATTGCTTGTGTGTCTGTCCCACTGGATGGCGAGTTCTGCAGGAGCAGATTGTGTCTTCCCCACTGCCTGCCATCCTATGGATCTCGGCATGGTTGCTGAGTTGGTGAATGAGGGACATATCAGAGGCACATGTGAGGTGTCCTATGGTTCTCCCAGGCAGAGGTCGTCTCCCCAGCAGCTCTCGCTCTGTTACGAAGCCCATGACCCAGGCCATGCTGGGCAGCTCCAGGGGAAGTCTGTGATGGGCCACTGAAGCCTCCAGAAGACACCTCTAGCTTTGGGGGAATGGTAGCACACCGTAAGGGCTGGTCCTCCCTGCTCAGTCTCCAGACCCACAGCCCTCGCTCCACCATGCCACTAGGCAGGGGGCAGTGGGGAGGGACTCGTCCTTTTCCTGAGTTGCTTCCAGGTGTTGAGAACGGAGTAGGCCTCCTGCCCTGCTCTCTGTCTTCTCCCCTGCCTTTCCTGCTTGCCCAGGCCTCTCCCCACCACCCCCGGTTCTCACACTGCAGTCCCCACCAGTGGGGTGTGCCCCTGCTTGCCAGTGGCCAGTGACATGGCTATGTCCAGCCCGCTGGGTTGCCTCTCCACCTGCTTTTCACTGCATTTTCTAGGAGCCTCAGAACATGCTTCCTGCTACCCCACGCCATGGCAGAGGTCTCCCCATGCCCACCCCTGGGTACCTCTCCCCAGACACCCCAATTTCCTCAGTGTCCCCTAGGTTTTCCCTCCCCTTCTCTTCATGCCTGGGACCCATCGTCTTGGCTCAAGATCCAAGACAAGAAGTCTGGAGGAATTAAGAATCTGTGGTTGAGGCGTAACTGTGTCTGTGACTGTGTGTGTCTATGTGTGTGCCAGCGTGACTGCATGTCTATGTCTTGTGGCGGTTACATGGTTGTGCATTTCTGTGCCTCTCTGCGAGGGGGCATGTCTGTGTTTGCACGCACGTGCATGTGCCTGTGTCTGTGTGTGTCTGTGCATGCATCTCCCAGGGGAGGAGGTGGGGGTGGGGGCTTACCTGTCCATGGCCAGCTGCCAGTAGAGAGGTTTGGATACGGGCACCCAGTGAAGGTCCCCCATGTAGTAGGAGGGGTCCACACTGCCAAGCATCAGCACGCTGCCCTTCTCATCCTTGCTGGCATGGCGAAGGGGGAATGGGAAAAGGGAGGGTTTATTGCAGGTGGCGAATGATGCACAGCATTTTCAAGATCAGAAACGGGGGACCAGGCAGTGAGTAAGGTTTGCTTATTGCCACTCCCTCACATGACCCTCACCCCTCCCAGAACAGGTACTGCCCTCTGGTCCCTTACATGGATGGTGAGGTTGAGGCAAGGAAGGCCTGAGTTGCTGCCTAGGGTCAGTCTCATAGCTCATGAGTGGCTAAGCTGAAGCCTGAACTTGGATGCCATAGCTTCCCAACAGAGCTCTGACCACCTGCTCTATGGATGGCCGGATGTCCCTCCGGCATTCTGAGCAGAGTCTGGGGTGCAGCCTTGCCTCGCTGTCATTTCCAGAAAATGGAAGCCTGGGTAGGCAGAGGGTGTAAATGCAGGTTCACATGGGTCTGACTTTCCTGGGAGAGGGACCTGGGCATCCACAGAGCCCGTGCTCGGACAGTCTGAGTGCCTTTTGAAGAAGGGCGGCCACGCTCTCCTTGCTGTTTCAGACATGCATGTGGGATGACCGTCACACCCAGCACACACGTATCAGAGCCTCGTGAGACCTATAATTCCTGATGTTGAGATTGTGGGTCTTGCCTGCGTCAGCCTCTACTTCCAGCCCCACTGGGAACAAGCCCCAGGGGAGCCCTGTCCCTTGGCCCTCCCCTGTTCCAGCCACATGGGCCCCCTGGCTGGCTCCACACGCAGCCCTCCGTGGGCACTCTGTACTCCATCTTCGCTGTACCTGCAACTTCTCCATCTCTCGCACCTGGTTCTCTCCCACCCCGCAGGAGTCAGCTCCAAGAAGCTGTCCTCGCCACTGCCGTTCCCTGCCCTTGTCCCTGTCTGGGCTTTCCCCCTGATTTGCTGCTTGCACAGGATCCATTACTGTCTTGTCTGCTTCCTCTGCCTCTTGTCTCCCTGCTTCGTCTGGACAGTGCCCGGCAAGCAGTAGGCACTGGTACATCATCTCCTTTGACTGGGTACAAGTGCTCCTGAGGCTTAGCGAACTTAAACAACTTGCTTAAGGTTCATGCCACAGAGTCAGGATTTGAACTCAGATCTCCCCCGAGTCCACAGTTTCAACACCAGCTCTCCTGCCTCCTCCATGGACCTATGGGGGTCAACCACTGCCTCTGGGATTGGGAGGAAACACATGTGGCAACAGGGTCCTTCTCCCCACCGGGGCCTTAGGCAGCCCCTTAACTCTTCAGGACACTTAAGCTTCTCTCCAACCAAGCCCAGGGACTAGACACTTGCTGTGGAGGGCAGGAAACTTAAAGGCTCTGCTGCCACTGGGCAGTCATGTGCAAAGCCCCTCTTGGAGCCTCAGTTTCCCACTCATCGCATGAGGGCACTGGCCTCCAGGGATCAGCTGACTCCTTCTGGAAAGAGTCAAGTAGTCCACACATCGGACTGCATGCCCTGACCAGTCCCCACTGCACCCCATAGTTGCAGCCACGGATGAGGCGTGCATTCTCAAGGGAGTCTCTCCCCAGGCAGTAGACTGGGTCAGGCTCCCAGGCCACACTCATTGAACCAGACTAGTACTCAGGGTACTTCTAAGTCAGATAGAAACCTGCGGCTTTTATGCGACTGGAAGCGTCTTGGCGCCAGGATGGAGGAGGGCCTTATGCAGCCAGGACTTACCTGCTCAGGTAGAAGGCAAAGAGGTTCTGAGAGAGGAGGCCTTGGTTCCACAGGTTGTCGAAGACAGGGGTGATTCCCTCGGAGCTAAGGCTGGGATAGCTCAGCCCCAGGATGCCATCGAAGACTGCATATTCCATGAACTGGCCTGGCTCCTCCAGGCTCAGGCCAAAGGGCTGGGCTACATCCACCAGGTCCGCGATCTGCAGGAAAGGGGGTGGGGCTGCCTCTGGGAGAAGGCCTGGGAAGTGGGACCCAGGCAGATTGGTGGGGTGGGGGCAGGTGGGAGGGATGCTAATGCCAAGGAGGTGGACAGAGGCTGCCGCAGCATAGGGGGCTCCCCATGTGCTCATCTTTGAATAGTTCAGGCAGGCAGGCTCTGCTGGGCAGTGCTGTGAGTCAGCACCCACACCTGCACCTCCCTCACCGTGTCTGCGCCCAAATAGGCCTCTTCCTCTAACGAGGACCAAAGGATGCCTGCTGGGGAACAGACAGGTGGGCAGAGAGTAGGGCTACTTCCTTTAGGACGGCACAGTGAGCTGGTGTCAGAAACGGACGGGATTCATGGCCAACCATGAACCTAAATCTGCCCTGCTTCTTTCCCATTTTATTCAAAAGGAAGAGAGAAAAGAAAAGGAGAGATCGTCCAGCTGTTGGTTCACTCCCCGCAGCAGCCAGGGTGGGCCAGGCTGAGGACAGGGGTCTGGAACTCCATCTGGGTCTCCCATGTAGGGAGTAGGGACCCAAATACTACTGCCATCCAGGGTGCACGCTAGCAGGACCACAAGCAGAGGAGTCACTGGGACTTGAAAAAAGAAATCTGCTCTGGGATGCTGGTGACCTGGGTGGGGACATAACCCCTGCACTCCAGCAGGCAGAGTGTGTGTGTGTGTGTGTGTGTGTGTGTGTGTGTGTGTGTGTGTGTGCGTGCGCGCGTAATGTGTGCTTATGCTCAGGTAAGCTAGGAAGGCAATCCAAGCAGACCGTATCGGTGCCTGCCACATGGGACTGTGGCGAGGACTGACACGTTAACACAGTTACATCACCTGGCTCAGTGGGACCATTCCTCCCACCCCTCTCCCCTGTTCCCCAGCATGGCCAGCCTTGTCCTCAAGAGTAGGGGAAAGTAGCTGCCAATCCTGACCACCCCATCTCCAAGCACCTGTAGCTGGGTGGTCCCACTCTCCAGGGAGGACCTGTCTGAGGGCACTGCCCCCCAGGTACGTGGTCAGCCATCGAAGGGCTTGCCGCTAGTCCTACATCTGGCCCTGGATAGGGCAGTCACTGCCACCCCCAGGGCCAGCCCGCTTCAGCCTGGGGGCTCCATGTTACCTGAACGGTGTCGTAAGCCAAAAATCCCGACATGCTCCCGGAGCCATAGACAATGTTAATGGGCCGGCCCGAGACAAGGAAGGTGGAGGACAGCAGAGGGTTGAACGTGTCGTGTTTGGCTGAACACACAGGAGTGAGCATTGGTCAGGCGCACTGAGGACCAGGCAGGGGGCCATGGGAGGCCAGGGGGAAGAGATGGGGGCAGGGGACACTCACCGCAGGCCGGGCTGGAGCAGTAAATGGAGGGTACCCACAAGTCAGAAGAGCCCGTGTCAAGAACAACCTTGAACTCCTGGGGGGGCGTTCCAATGCTGATGATGCCGATGTAGGCCAGCTGTGGGGCCAGAGAGGCGGTGGTTAGGGTAAGGCCTGGCTGCCCCAGCCTCTCCCTGGCTCCTAGGCACCTGCCTTCCCCGGGGTGTCCTGATATTTTCCCAAACCATTTCCTATCACCGTGCCTCAGCACCCCTGCTCAAGTCATTGGAGATGTCCTCCAAGATCTTTCCACCCTTCAAGGATCAGCATTCCCAGCACTACACAGGTGCTCTCATTACTGGGCTCTGACTCCTGCCCGGTTTCTCTGGCTGCACTCTAAGTTCTGGAAGAAACTCCAGGGCCTCTAGATGAATCATCACCCATCACTGTCACATTTACCACTTCAGGGCCCCGTGCCCCAACCCCTCAGTCTTTTCACAGGTGTGGTTCTTGGGGTAGGAGTGGCTGAATCTATCTAGGGGCTCACACTCGGTTTGCAGGTGGTTTTGCTGTTACTTCATCAGACAGAGCTCACCCTTCGATGTGGTTCAGCGGTTCACTTAGTTTACAATGAAGACCCTGGAACCAAGCGCTGTGATCACATCTACCTGTGCCCAGTCCCTTCACCAGCAGCCGAAGGGAGGAGTGCCTCTACTCCTGGCATGGGCCTGATTCCCCACTCTGTAGGCTTATAGGAGTCCCAGCCCTAACAGACTGGCTGGCACCCCTGGTGAGCGCCAGTGCCCTGCAGTGCCACACGGAGGCACTCTGGAGCCCCATGGCCATCACACTCACATCCAAGTAGTTCCTCAGAGGCTCAAAAGCCTTTCCCGGGTCCTGATGCCTGCGATGTAACTTGTAGGCTGGGCCATAGGGGTGCTTCTCCAGGTAGTCTTGGAGAATGTTGTGTTCCCGGAGGTTTTCTCGCATCGATTTGATCTTCATCAGAGGGATGCTTTAATGGAGCATTGGGAAGGAAAACAGATATGAATCCGTGGGCCACGCAGCGCTGCAGTGGGCTGGCCGCCTAAGAGAGGAGTGCTAGGAGGCACCCTCCACCTAGTGGATATCCACAGTAATAACCTGTGGCCGCCTCAGAAGAGAGTGTGCTGTGGAGGGGAGAGTCTTACTCCCTTTTAACAGCAGGAAATCTGAACCCCTGGAGTTTGTGAGTTGCCTGTACCACACCAGAAGAGAACAATGAGAGAGGAAGACAGGCAATGGCAAACTCAAGGGGGACGGAGGTGGGGGAGTGGGAAAGACAGAGAAAAAGAGTCCAAGAGAGATCTGGAGAGATGGAGAGGTGAAAGGAACAGTTAGAGGGTGACACAGAGGTACATGTTCCTGGAAACTCCGAGAGAACACCGAGGACATGTCTAAGCAAGCGTGCAAGAAGTGTATGGGGCTGCAGCTACGGCTGCCCGGGGTGTGCACTGAGCAGTTCTGGGGAACACCATTCCCACAGCCCATGACGTGGAAGGTGTTCCTGGAGTTGTGCATGCCTGCAGGTCTGCGCTGGGCATCTGAGTCCTCCCTTTACCATCCTCCAGCACATGTGGCAAACTACTCCTTAAATGACATCGAAGTTAAGGAAGATGACATTTAGCTTCTCTGCCCTTAGATGGGCTGAAAAAAAAAAGGGGGAGGGAGGGTTAGAAAGAAACCAGACGGAGAGCTGCTGCTGCTTGTCCTCTACTTACGTGACCAAGCACTCCGAGAGGGCCACCAGCCCAAGGACCCCAAGCCACTTCATGCCTCCTTCCTGGTGCAGCAAAGCCTTCAGGGAGAGGTGGGAACTGAGCATGCAGTGGCCACCAAGAGAAGCTCATTAAATACAGTCACCTTGGAGGGCCGCTATGGAGACTTGATAAGAAATACAAACCTTCCTGATAAGAGCTCACCCCTCTAGGCCCCAAGGAGGGGGCCCAGAAAGTTCTCAGAAATGAGAGATTTCTAGTGTAATCTCTTCCTTGGGGCTTGGCTGAAAAAACAAAACCAAGCCACACAACCCCAGGATCTAACAAGAGTGGGGAGACGCTGGCAGTCTTGGGGATAAAGACATGGCAGGTGGCGTGATAAAAATAAGTGCCAGGTTCAAGGGTTGGCATGGGTGATCTCGTGGTCTTCCCAGGGACCCAGTGAACAGACACACATTGCTTTCCCAACTTCAGAGGTGTTTGCTGGGAAGAAAAGAGGTCAAATCGCAAAGGGAGGATGCCGGGGGTGCCCCCACCCCAGGAGTGGGCTGACGTGATGAGCTAGCCCATGCTGGTGGGCTTTGCAGATCCAAACCAATGCAGACATTTGCACAGCTTTAATGCTGGAAAAAGTGGGAGACATGCGTCCCTCAGATATGCCCTTCACCCAATAAACACTTTTAAAGAGTGCTTTTTATTTTTTCATTTGAGAGGCAGAGACAGGCAGATCCCATCTGTGTGTTCAGTCTCTTAAATGGCTGCAAAAGCCAGGAATGGGACAGGCAGAAGCTGAGAGCTGGGAACTCATTCAGGGTCTCCCACATAGGATGACAGGGAACAAAGCACTCAAGGTGTTGCCTGCTGCCTCCCAGGGTACACATTCGCAGAAAGCTGGAATCTGCAGCAGAGCCAGGACTCCAACCAGGCCTTCCAACATGGAATGAGGGCATCATAACTGTTGGCTTAAATGCTAGGCCAAATACTCAGGAATCTTACTGAGGACCTACTGTGTGCCAAGGACCAGGCAAGATACCAGGAAAACTAAGCAGTGAAACAAGTAATCCTGGCCTTCGGGAGCTGGCAACCTAGGGCAGAGCTCACATCTCAGGACCTGAAAGGCAAAGGGAGCCACAGAAGGGCTGTGTGGGCACTGTCTACAGGGGTGGGAGGCATTTCTGTGCCACCATCAGGCAGCAGCCTCTACTCAACTGCATGTCACTAGCCCGCCCTATTCACGTGGGGGCAGACTCTTCAGGTTCATTTCTACACAGCTGCCCTTGCTTAATGGCATCTATGCTAGCCCCGAAGACCTCACATACCCCAGTCCACACAGCTCTTTATCTGGCCCCTTAGTATGATGCTTTCTAGGAAATCAGTAAACTCAAGTATTTTCCCAAGCGCAGTGGCGGCTCCAGGAAGATCATCCCAGCAGAGGAAGGGGCTGCCAAGGTATAGCAGGTGGGTCAGAAGCACAGGCAAAGCCACCCAAGGCTGTACTGGGCATCAGGATCACAGGAAGATGGCGGTCCTGGGGACTGAGCTCTCTGTGTGTGGGATTTGGGCGCCAGGAAAGCAGTGTGAGAACCACCTGCAATCAGAGGCTGCCCTCTGGTGTCTCCTGCAGGCTCTGCAGTTGGTGGTGAGAAATTCTCCCGCCTATTTTGAGATCCATGGAGTGAGAGTGTGGTTGACTGGGTTTTGCTTGTCTATCCTCAGAGTACTGAATGAATCATTAAAGAAGAAGAAGGGAAGAAGAAGAAGAAGAAGAAGAAGAAGAAGAAGAAGAAGAAGAAGAAGAAGAAGAAGCAGAAGCAGTGATGTTGCTGGCAAATCCTCCTGAAACTGTGGGTTGCATTCAATGTGCAGGTTATGTAGGGTTTTCCTGCCAGCCTAGCTGTGGGGATCCAGAGGGGACGAGAGAGGATTCAGTTCCCATCGGCTGAGTGAGTAAACCATCAAATGCATTCTCACCATTTCTTTGCTTTTTTTTTTTTTTCAGTGAAAGTAAAATGTCATGCAGAAAAGTCCCCAAGACGGGCCTGACTTTCAGACCCGTTCTGTTGGATTCATTCTGTTTTCACATCATCTCCAATTGGTTCATGCACATAAGGGCCTACTGTAGTGCCTGGGTACCCATCAACACAAGACAAGAAACTATTGGTGGTGAAACCTCTCACCACGTGACCAGCACTAGCCAGAGTCTTGAGACGGTTTGTTATTGGAAACACAGATCAGATTTATAGAGAGAAGGAGAGACAAAGATCTTCCATCCACTGGTTCCCTTCCCAAATGGCCTCAACGGCCAGAGATGAGCTGAATGGTGGCAATCTGAAGCCAGGAGCCAGGAGCTTCCTGCAGGTCTCCCCTGTGGGTGCAGGGTCCCAAGGCTTTGGTTGAGCCATCCTTTACTGCTTTTCCAGGCTATAGCAGGTAGCTACATGGGAAATGGAGCAGCTGGGACACAAACCAGTGCCCATATTGGATGCCAGCACTTACAAATGAAGGATTTAGCCACTGAGACATCGCGCCGGGCTGGGGACAGTCTTTGGAGCAGAG